CCAAAACTGAGAAACAACAAAGGTGTGTCCCTCGATAAGTGAATGGACAAATAAGATGGAGAGGGTTCCAATCACAATGTTAGTTGGATCGTAATTCAAACTGTTCACAGATAACTGAGGAAATGAGAAATTTGAACAGTGGATATTTGATAATATTAAAGAATTTCATATTTCTTAAGAATTTGGTATACAACTACAATAACGGTATTATTGTTGTCTTTTAAAAAGTCCTTATCTTTTAGATATATACTGAAATATTCATGGATAAAACATGCTGCTAGGATTTGCTTCAAAATAATTTGGGATAGTGAGGAGTAGAAGTATAAGTAAAACAAGAGTGGTCATCATAAGTCACTACTAAGATGAGTGACAAGTTTGTGAGAGATCACGGATAATAAAAAATTAAAGCAAGGGTATATGTAATACAACCATATTTACAATATAGAGGATAAAATGTTAAGAGAAGGGTGTGGACAGAGGGAAACTGTTAGATTACTCCAGAGAATTCAGGCAGGAAGAGCAACCTAAACTAACACAATGATAGTAAAGAAATGAAAACCAGATTAAATTAGGGTTATTTCTTTAGATGAGTGGTTAGGTTTCATGGACATTCTAGGCAAAATTTTTTATTCACCCAATGAGCTAAGATATGTATTTAGAATTTCAAATAACTCAGCATGTAGTAAACGCTCAATAAATATTACTATTTATCTGAAATTCCATTATCTACAAAGGTTTCCCCATCATTTTTTTTCTTTGTATCCGGTTAATTTCTGGTTTACCACATTTCATTATTTCTAGAGTGACAAGCTCCATGAGGGCCAGATCCTTATTTCAAACACCATTTATACACCCAGGGCCTACCACAAAGTAGCACTCAAATATATTCACTTAATAATTACACTAGATCAATAAAACTCAAAGACTCAACATATACAGGGGGAGGACCCACTGATCTCTCGTATTTAGTGATTGGAAGGATGATGATAAACATTAACAATAACGGAATAAAGGAGAATGAGCAAGTTAAGTGTGTTTCATAGGGGTTTAAGAGGCAGTCATTAGAGATGAAATGAATAATGGATGTATTGAATTTGAAGTAGAAACGTTAAACAGGAAGTTAGAAATATGTCTGAGACATCAGTAAGCCAAAAATAGAGAAGTGGTTAAGAACATGGCCACTAGAGGCAGCCTGTCCAGGTTTATATCCTAGTCTGCTGCCTTTTAGCTGCACCATCTTGCACAGATTACTTAACCTGAGCCCCAATAGTGCCCCCCCAAAAAACAACTCCAACAACATAAAAAAATCAATTGTACCAATCTCAATGTGTTGTTTCTAAGATTAAATGAGTGAATATTGAAGCACTGGAATAACACATAGCCAAAGGTAAATAATAAGTGTTTTATTATTTAGGTATTAAGATGGTAAGTGATAGTTGAAAACTGATTTCAAATGAAATATACAGTGAAAACAAGAAGAAAACCACAACCCCAGGTAACATCAACTGGGAACAAAGGAGAGAAAAACATGAAGAAAAGTGGTAAGTGGACCAAAGGAAAAATAGGGAATTAAGAGTGGAAGGTAAAGAAACAGTTAATAGCAGACGGTGTTGGATAGATGCATATGGTAAGTAAGAAGGCCATAGGAGTTGGCACATTGAAGGTCAACCGTCAGAAAAAAACAGGTTCTACAAAGTGTTCAGATGGGTATTAAGGAAAGAGCAGAGCAAAAAAGGCAGATTATAGAGCAGGGATAAAGGGTAAATGGAGGAGAAAAGAATTCTAGATTAGTGGTCATTTGGTTTTTAAGGGTTTCAAAAAGAAACAGGGAGAATGGCATATGGTTGCGGACTCTTAATTCTATCTTATAAAATATTTTTTACTGTCACCATCATTTGAAATAGGAAACTACATAACAGCAAAATTTTATGAAAGCTAAAATTGTGAGAATAAAGGGAGTACCATTATGAAAAATCACTATACTGTTCTTATTTTTGTAGTTTCATATAAGATTCATAAAAATCTTGTAATAGAAAAGGGACCGTGATTTGCAAATCATTATTCTAGACCATCCTAAGAAAACGCTGAAATTAAAAGGGTGCACAGAAACAAAGTTCTCTCCCTTAAAAGGAAGAAATCAAGTTATATGTAAGCGAAATAACTCCTATTAAACTGTATGCCAATATGCAAACACAAACACTAATTAAAATTTTTAATTTGGTGGAGGATTAGCAGTTTTAGAATATAAACTTCTGAACTATAATTTCTATGTATTATCTACATCATATTTTTATAGTTGACAAACAAGTGCTTTGTATATACGTGCAAATATTACATATCAATTACACAGAAAACTGTAAGGACATGTTGGCAATAAACATGAACTAGACTTCACACATTATAGGGGCTCAAAAAGCTTTGTTGAAGTGTACTAAAGTGGTGTATGCCACATAATGGTAGACAAAGAATTATAGGAAAGATTCCATTTCTATGAAAATTGCTAAGGCAATACAACACAGTGGTTACAAGAGTGGTAATAAGACCACAGGCTTTGGATTCAGAGAAACCTGGGTTCAAATAACAGCTACGATACTTTCTAGCTGGGTGGCCTTGACAAAGTTATTTAACCTAAGTTTGTCTCCTCATCTGTAAAATTAGAATGATATCTACCTTATAAGGTTATAATGCTGATTAACTGGCAGTTATAATTTTATATAACATGAACTGCCAAAATCACAGTCTATTTTTTCCAAGTCTCTGGAGGATGAGGCAGAGGCCTGCCTATTTTTTAGTTTTACAAGTGATTCTGACTAGCACTCTCATTTAGGAGTCACTGTCCTAGGGCCTTACTAACAAAGCTTCACCTCAATCCAAGGAACTGTCAAAGATAAAAAGAGCTTTAAGACATGCTCTCTGGTTTAGTTCCAAGTTCCTAAGACAGACCTTTACCACAAATTTCTTTACAGAGAAAAGAACCATACTATAAAGTTCCCATTTAAAGTCCTTTCCAAAGCCAGGAAAAACATGATTCCATATGGGAATTTTACATCAAAATTAGGTAGACCTTAGACTCTTTGTATTCATTACTGAATAGTTTTAATACTGAATACTTATATATATGTGTAGATGAACAGTGTACCCAAGGCTGTATACAATGATATGTAAGTTGTCTTATTTCTTTTATTTTTCATAATAATAAGTTTGTTTACAGTTTAAATCCACTCATGCTTCACTTAAACCCTCCCAATAAATTTTACTCAACATATACTTTTTTTTAATGTGTACTAAGCAATCTTACTAGAGACGAATACGCATAAAGCGAATTCAGTATTCCAGAAGCAAACTTGAAACTCTATTAACTAAGTAACTAAAAAAAATTTTTTTAGAGAAATACATATAAAACACAAACACAATCATGAATGTTTTACTCCAAAAGAATCAGTATGATATAATGAAAATCCCTGGAACAAATTAAGAGTCTAAAAACATTGTAGAACTTCAAAATAAGGAAACAAACAAAAAGTTGAGAATGACTATGTCAGAACTACAATGCCAATAGAGCAACTGAAAGCAAGCAAGTAAAAGGAAATCTTCCTTACGAGACTTTTCTGTTACTGTCAAGGAGAAAAGAACCAAACAGAAAAGCAAGAGCTTGGGCAGACGATATAGACATCATTAATGTATATATTTTACGAATTTAGACAAAACAAAGGCATTTTCTCAGCTACTTACATTAGCAAACCTTATGCATGACTAATGCAATTACTAATTGAAAAATGGTATAATCCAAGCTTTTCTACAACAGTACAAAAGTCATAAACACTATGTCAGGGACTGGTGAAGTATTTAATATTTAGTGAGCCCAAGCCTCACTGCATTTGTAAATGCAATCTTTAAAAAATAAAGGCTGTACTATCTTCACTCACACAGAATATTAAGTTTGTAACATGGTATGGTATCTTCACTCACACAGAATATTAAGTTTGTAACATGGTATGGTAGAAAGCTGTGTATCAACAGAATTCCATAAATCCCAGAGATTTTAAAGCAGAGTATACACAAGTTAAAACAATAGACAATTTTGACTTAAGCTTTTTGGAAGTTGTATTTTTAAAAGCCAAGTAGTATATCAAAGCACAATTCTAAAACACCGAAATGACTAATAAGTGTTAATTTATAATTAATGTTTTCAAGACTTGATAGTGTCAAAATATCTAAGTAGTCTTACTTTCTAAAAGTTTAACCGTACCCACTTTATAGACAAATATAACTTTACTAGTTCAAAATCAAACTGAAGAGATATATATTTGTTTGAAGAAACTCTAAGTTCATCCAATATTCCTTCTTTAAAAATATTTTCCTAACTATTCACCATAGGCATATATGACATGTCAGGGAACAATACTGCTTACATTCTAAATATATGTCAGTCTGAAAAACAGGTGCAACACTACTTAGGTGCATGCTTTTTTGCTTCGAAGCCTAAATTTGACCTGGAAAGGATTAAAAATAAACACAAATATCCAAAAAAGTTGAATTCTTTTAAAAAGATGTAGCCATTCTTAAATCCGAGACATGAACCCTTAAACTACCAACACCTGCCAAAAGTCAGGTAGAGCAGCCCATCAGTTTCACCTTAAGAGCATCGAGTTAGGCTTAATCACGAAGGGTCCTGATAGTTAACTTTGCTTCCCTTCTGTAACTTAGTAACGTGAGACATCTTACTTCCAGCTAATATTAAATCTTTTCTCAGTTGTTTCACAAGGACAACAGAGATAGTCTGGTTTGGCTTTTTATAGATAAAGAATGTGACCCAGAAGAGGGAGATCTGCTGAAGAGTACCCTCTAAAGAAAAATTCAGTGCAGGCATACCTCGTTTTATTGCGCTTCACTTTATTGCGCTTCGCAGATGTTGCGGTGTTTTAGATTTTTTGCAAATTAAAGGCAAGACCCTCACCGGCAAAAGGATTGCCATTCGCTTTACTGCGGTGCTTTGGGGCCCAACCGCAATATCTCCGAGGTATGCCTGTATGGAGGCTTGATGAGTCAGTCACTAAAGTAAGGAAAAACTGATAGGGAATATAAGTGAATAAGGCAGCATCCCAGGTAAGAAGGTAAAGTTAGCGGTAGGAAATGAAAACTTCACAGGTCAGCCGCAAGCCATTGTGCTTGGTAGCAGCCCTGGAAGGAAGCGTGGCTGTCAAGGGGCAAGGGTATCCCAACTCCAGGGGAGGGGGCCAAATGTGCCAAATTGGAAAGGGGGGGTGACCCGGGAAAAGCTGGTAAAATGCCCATCCCAGTCCCTCTCCTCGGGTTCTTCATCTCAAGAAGCACAAACAAGAGCAAGCCCAGTGCCAAGGAGCTCAACGCCGGACTCTCCCAGGTCCCTCCCACAGAAAGGAGCTCAGCACCAAGCCCCGAAGGCCCGGGCAGGCCGCCTCCGGAGGAGCCCCCGCAGACGCCATGCTAAAAGCCAAAATGGCTGCCCCAAGGTAGCCCGCACCGCGCAGCTAGTGAGGGTTGGGGAACAAGCTTCTGCGGAAAAGGGGGAGGAGGACTCTGGAGGAGCCGTGGCCAGGACCAACGCCCCTTGAGCAGCACAGGTAGGTTCCTCTTGTCTCCCCAAGGCCGCAGGCTCCGACCGAGAGGAGCCCGGCCCCACCCCCCAACGGGAACACCGCCGCCGCAGCCGTCCCGCACACCGACCCCAGCGAGGTACCTGCAGTTCGGCCCGCTCCACCTCCCAGTGCGCCCGCTCCATCTCGAACCGAGCCCACTCGTGCTGGATGTAGTGCAGGATCCCCGGGATAGTGTACTGCTGCGGCCGGGACAGCTCGGGGCCTGCCGCGGGACCCGCTCCCTCGGAGGCCGGAGGACCCGCCGCCGCAGCCGTCCCGCACACCGACCCCAGCGAGGTACCTGCAGTTCGGCCCGCTCCACCTCCCAGTGCGCCCGCTCCATCTCGAACCGAGCCCACTCGTGCTGGATGTAGTGCAGGATCCCCGGGATAGTGTACTGCTGCGGCCGGGACAGCTCGGGGCCTGCCGCGGGACCCGCTCCCTCGGAGGCCGGAGGACCCCCCCGGGCCGCCACCACCGCCTCCGGCGAGCTCGTCCATTGTGTGTGGGGCCCCGGCCGGGGCGCAGGGCGAGACGCCGACGGCTGGGGGAAGGGCCGGGGAGGCTGGCCCCGCGCTGGCGGGGGGGCGGAGGCCG